CAGCGCGCAAACGCGTATTGTCTACGTGAATCATATTGTTATTATCAAATCGAGAACGCGCCAACGTACAAAAAGTGTATATATATATATTTTTTTTTCCACGACGAAAGTGGAGAATTAACGTTGATTAAAACGTCGCGAGTTTTACGTTTTGAAACAAAAAAAAAAAAAAAAAAACGAAAGAAAAGTCAACTCGATAGTCATTTCGCGCCATACGTAAGAAACCTCTTTCGGATATTGAGACACTTTTCCGGACGCGCGTATACGCGACGTAATATATTTGAATAGTGAAGACATTACGAGCGATATTACGGCCACCCGGCGCAAGGCGTGCGCGAATATATATCACGCGTGTGTGTCTTGAACCTGCATCTCACAGCTTGAAAAAAAAAAAAAAAAAAAAAAAAAGAGAAAAAAAAAGGAGGATTTAGAGCGTTAACGAGATTCTGCAGTTCTCATTGACGTGCACGGCGGGACGCATTGTTTTCTCCTGGGCATCTCTCGACGAGATGCGCGCGCTCGTGTGTGTGTGTGTGCGCGCGTGTGTATATCTCGGGTTCTCTCGCTACGGTATCTCGTTCTCTCGGTATACATATGGGGTGCATGTGCAACGCCTATTATTATCGCTTAACGGCGGAGTAGAGAGAGCTCTGTCTCGGTGCTGCGCTTTCCCTCGGTCTCTCAGGTAGCGTAACTGCCACACGTAACATTTATCCCGCGAAGAGCGAGCGAACGTGATCCCCCCCGTGGTAAAACGCTTTTCGATAATAATGTCATCGCATGAGTGCGTCGGCGACATAAGTGCGCACAGACAACACGAAGCGTTTGCTCGCGCGCGCGCGCGATGATAATAATAATACGCTCGCAATGCACAACGACGGGGAGTATTAAATGCTCGGAGCGCGAATAAAGTCCGATTACCTAACCCCGTGCTAATCCGCGCGGTAAACAAAATTTCTCCCTCTCCGTCTCTCTCTCTCTCTCTTTTTCTGTTTCTCTCTGTAAATATACATCGTTTTCCACGTCCACGTGACGGAATTTAATAGCCCGATATGGCGCGAGTCCATTAACTGCGGAGTTTCGCAAATTGAAGCGTACTTGGATCCGCGCGCGGCTCGAGCCTTCGCTAATCCATTAGCGACACATATTGAGAGTTGTTGTAGTTTCGACAAAAAAAAAAAAATTGGTTCGAAATTTCTCTGTCCCGCGCACTTCGATCGTTTCTAGTATTTCTAGAAGCACACTCTGCGCTCTCTCTCTCTCTCTCTCTCTCACAGCTTGTACCGCGCGCGCAAATTGATTCGCAACGACTTGACTGTAATTCACAAAAGTCATCGATAGAGAAACGTAAAAAAATTGGACCGAGTTCCGTCATTTGTTAATATCGTTTATATCGTTTCGGAGTAGCAAAACACGTTGCGCTTCCCCCTTGAGCAATATATCGTATACACGGATATGTTTGGCGCACAGCGCGCTACAGCTTAAATCCAATTTCTTTCGCATCAAATTTTCATGCTATATTATATAGAAAGATTCTCTCTACACTCCACCACGAAGAACCCATTTGCGAAAAATTGAATCTAAGACGTTTTGCCCGCATACCGAATATTCGTGCCCATCTTCGGAATTCAAATAACTGTTGCAGTGTACGAATGTTCGCAACCAGACAGAAAATGCGTGAAGAGAGAGAGGGGAGGGGATATCCTTTTCTTGATTACTTTTGAAAATGTTTCCGTAACATCCGTTCTCAATAACATTCGTGATATAAATATAACAAGAAATTCATCTGATCGTATCCGAGAGAGAGATAGAGAGAGAGAGAAGGTACAAAAATTGCGTACAAATTTCAGAATTTTCGAGTTAATAAATAATTTAATTTGTCTTCTTATAGTTGAATATAAATCGATCAGAGATAACGCGCGGAGAAATTTAAAATCAACGGGAAATATAATACGGGAAAATTTTTATACGAGCAAAATCCAATATTTGGAACGTGAAGTGAGCACATCTGTAAATGAATGTGAAACACATCCGTGACAAAATGCCGTGCTCGTTCTGCGTACTTCCTTCGGGCACGTAGGAAGTCCAATTTCGTTCTTCAACCTCGACGGTCCTCATCGTCCGCTTCCGGTAGATATAGAGCGCTGCCAAGAATTCGATGGGGCATCATTTTCTTGGCGGAACACTTTTAGCAGCGCGGAGAAAGCGAGTCGGGACGGGCAACGTTTTTCTTCGAAATATTGGTTTTATCCGTTTATATATCGCCGCCGCGCGCAATAATTATATTGTACTATCGTATCGCGTAATTTGAATTTAATTTCCTTTCACGTAGATATTTATGCGAAAATAAACACAAAATACACGGATGTAACGTTACATATATATTTGCTCGAAAAATAATAATTAAATCACTAATTACTAGTAATGACTAATAATTACTTTAAATTGGCTGTGCAAACATCAAAATTTGTTTGATAAAAGAAACACCGACGGAAAAATGCTTTCCGCCGTTGACATAACTTTGCTTTGTGTGTGATTTAATATTTTTTACGCGCATTTAGCGATGCGATTCGAATTTTAAACTCGTGCGACTCTGGAACGACACCGCGAAAATATGCACATTCCTTGCGTGTAACAAATTTCAGTCTCCTTTGCACGGCCGCGATATCTTTTTTTTTTTTTTTTCGAGAATTTCTTGCCGCACGCAGGAATTCCGGGTGACGTTACGGGAGAACTATCTTGAAAAAGGGGGAAAAGAGAGAGAAAGAGAAAGAGAGAGCAGGGATTAAAGAGGAGAACGCATAAAGAGTGGCAAAAAAAGGGCGCACGTCGGAACATAAAGAGAAAAACAATTATATCTCGTTTTTTCTCAGGGATACAACTTTTTTAGCTATTTCTGTGGGTTTTTTTTTACTATAATTTTTTTCTTACTCTGGCAAGAGAATAAAAAAAAAAACAACCAAACAAACAAAATAAAGAAAGAATATAAGATTAGTCTTCCCGTTATATTTTGCATCTAAATCCATATTTAATGTACATGTACATATAAATCTCTGAGAGCTTCTTTAAATCCCTGAATATTGTATAAATTTGCGCGAATCTTTTCGAAAACGTGACACGCCGTGGCAAATTGAGAAATGTTTCGCGTATGTATATATTTGCAAAACATATGTTTCCTTACTCTTGTAAAATTTATAAGCATCAAAACCAATATTTTATATAATAATTCTCGAAGAGTGAGATATACACATATATATACCGAAGACCTGGTTTTATTTCTTTGGACTGTCACTTCCCTACTATTATTATTATATATATATATATATATATATATGTATGTATACATGTAGCGCGCATGCGTTCGCGATTATAGAACTTAAAGTTTAATGAGAAATTCGTATTTTTGAAAAACCCAACCAACGGGAAAAGATTAGCGCGCGGAACCGCGAGAAAAGAGAAGGGGGGAGGAAGAGAAAAAGAAAGAGGAACATCCGATAAGTCGTAACTCGCGCGATGAGAAAGATAAAATTAACGAAAGTTTTCAATCCCCTTTCATCTCCATTCAGAGACTCTCGACACACGTTCCTTTCTTTAGAAAACTTTCTCTATCAGACCCGGAGTTTCGTATCGGAGCGCGCTGTTACAGGTCGAAACGTGAAAGAACGAAGAATGCAAATGGAAAACGAAGAGAGCAAAGATTACTATCAAACGGAAAAAGAAAAAAATACAAACGGAGAGTGTTATCAAGTCGATATGAAAACTCGTAAGCACAGCGGAAAAACTGAATTCACTTGTTGCACTTTGCAAATAAAAAAAAAAAAAAACAAAACGAGATCATTACACGCACGCATTTAGTTGCGCGCGTAGCTTTTATAATTAGAAGTAACGCAGGTTTGACAATGTCGTTACGTGTCGTCCTTTCGAAATACCAAAAGTACGAGTCCCGCGTACTTTTCTTTTCTCGAACGTGACTTCGAGATCGCGTTAAAAAAACGAAGAGGTATGAAAATGGGATTTTTCGCGCGTGGCTTAAACACGCGCGAAAGAAAGAGCGCGGCAGAAGAAAAAAGGCCGCCTCTAATTCTCTTTACGGTGAACCATCGTAGTCGAGCGCGCGCTTAGCTCTCGCGCAAACGTCGTCTCGAATTTGTCCACATTCAAAATCAGCTTCTGTATATAAGCTTTCTCCCTTTCGTTGGCATTCACCCGCGCCCATTTGACTTTCCAAACGAGAGTTTGTTCTTCGATTTCGACTCGGTAGGGTAAAGATAAATGAGGGAGAGCGATTTATTATTCTCGAGTGAGCACATTGCCAAGCGTATAATCTGCAATACTAAAAACAACGAGTTTGAACATGTTGCGAATAATACATACATTACTCGCGAGACTCGACGAGTGCGATTTAATGTTAAAAAGATACGATACGTTACGGGAAACGTGAAAACACAAACGTAAATACACGTACCACGCAAATTGGAGTAACTACAGTCATCAGAAAAGAAAGAAGAAGAGCCCAAAGTGTGACCCCAAAAAGAAGCCGAGAAAGAGGAAAAGAGACGGAAAAAAAGTCAAAAGAGCAAAATAGTTCGCGGAAGCTCGTCTCCCGACCGAGTAGCGGCGAACGACCAACAGCGGCAACGACCAGGAAGAGGATGCAGCGCGTGCGGATACATCGTCAAGTGGAGGCAGAAAGAGAGATACCGCCGGTCGCGTTCAATACGCATGCGAGGTAAAGCGTGTGCGCGGGCGCGTACAACACGGGTCTCTTTTCGATCGACGGTGTCGGTTGTAGCGGTGGTGGTGGCGGCGACGGTGGTGGTAGCGACGGCGACGACGACTACGACTACGACGACGACGACGACGACGACGACCCCACGACGCCGACGTCGGCTGGTGGCGGTGGCAACGACGCGTCGGTGGCGGCACCAGCGGCGGCCGCAGCAGGTGAGCGGCGGCCGCACGACCGTTCGGTCCGATACAGTCGTGGAGGGAGTGCGAAATCACGCTGACGCGCTGCGAGTGGCGCGCATCACGTCGTCGTGCTTTGAAGCGTTGGAACGTGCCGATCGAACGTGTCATCGGGGACGCGAGTGAACCGGGCGAAGAAAAAAAATTAAAAAAATAAAAGCAAAGACAGTTGCGTTGTCGAGGGGTCGAAGAAGATCCTTCGAAGGTCTTTCCGGATAAGAAACTTGGATTAACGCGGAGAAAAACAAAACTCGTGTCGAAAGGAGGGTTGACGAAGAGTCGGCGGTAAAAAAAAAAAAAAAAAACAAAAAACGATGTGAGGAACAAAGTGTCGATCAACAGAAGAAGGGAGGAAGAGGTGAACGCGAGGTGCGAGGATATAAGTGTAACCGAGCGTGCGAAATTCCGGATACTCCGAACAGATGACGATGTGATTCGGTGCGTTTACGAAGGAACTGGTGCTGCACACGATCGCGCGATCGATTCCCCGATTTCCGAGATTCGCGTCCGTGGTTCGCGGGGTCCGAGAGGAGGTTCACTGGTCCAGCGCAGCCTCCGCGTCGCGAGTTCACCGATCTCAGTGCTCGCGCGCGATTCGTTCCGAGCAGCCGGTTCTTCTTCTCGATTCTTTCTGCGAGAAATTGGTCGACGGTAGAGGAGGATGCGCGAGTATCGCGTGCGTGACAATCCACAGACGCGTCGTACTCCGGACTGCGATTAGAGCTCTCCGGCCGCGGAAAAAGGAGTTAAACACACGTACGCAGGGCCGTTTTTTGATCAGTGTGGGTTTTTGAGACAGTGCGGATGTACACCGTCGACGTGTTCTTCTTCTGGTGATCGGTGTTTGATATGATCGTGCCGCGTTGGTCTCGTCACGTGGAACGATCATGATTTACTTTAGGCCGCACGACGGGAGGAGTCTGCGGTACAACGCGAACGCGAGGCACTTGAACGTGCTCGTCGTGCCGCTCTTTCCGCTCTGGATTATCGGCGCGTTCTGCGTGAAGGACAGTAAGTGAATGTTGAATTTGTTATTTGTTGTTGTAATAACATAAATTGCGCGAGTTCGAAGAGAAATTACCGCGCGGCTCTCTTTGAGAGCTGATTTATTTGTTTTTACGCTCCGAGTACCTGCTCTTTTTCTCTATCTGTGTTTGACCGTCGCCAATCGACTATACTCCAGTTTACATACTCGGCTCTTGTCAAACGTGAAAGAGTTAAGCGGAAGTTTCGCGGAGCGTTAAAATTACACGGAGGCGGAGAGTTTTCTGAAACTTGTGCTTCCAAATTTCACATGCCTGATAATTAAATCAAGCGAATATTCGTAAAGCGTGTGTCTGGGTTCCGCGCGGAGAACAGCGCGCGCGAGCTCTTGGTATTCCGGCGAAAGGTGTATCGTCCAAGTATTTTCTCTCTCTCTCTCTCTCCGCGCAATAAATATGAAATAACACATTTTTTTGCGCGATACGATATTCGCGCCGAGCGAAATTACCGTACGATTAAAATAGTCGCGGTGTAATTTTAGAGATAAAATTTCTCGGCTTTCGTTTTTTACGTTTGGACGCGCGCGATCACTTCCCGGAAACAATACGTGAAACAATACGACAGAGATACCTACGTAGAAAAGTTCACACAGTTTGTGATTTTATCGAGCAACTCGCTCTCCCGTTTGTCATCGTCGTTTATACGCGGCATATAAACAACATTTCGCGGATAGTGTAGCGGCGATTCAGATCGAACGCGTTTACGAATATTTTAACACCGACGGATCAAAGGCGCCTCCTCACTTTGACGCTCGGTTTCGGACGTCGCTTTCGGGAACCAGCCGTGCCCGTCAATGGCCCCGGTGTGTTTGTATATCGGCGACACTGCGGCTCGTTTACTGCCACTTACTTCACCGTCCCTGTTGGTCATCCGCAAATACGGATCGCGCGATACGTAGCGTTGCCGAGCGTTACCCTCGCGCGTATATACGCTATTCGTAAACGCGATACGCTCGTCGTTACGCGAGATGAAACAGTTTGGAAAAGAAAAAAAGGAGAAAGAGAGAGAGAGATAGATAGAGAGAGAAAGAGAAAATGAGACGAGACAGAGATTTGCGTCGAACAAGAGGAGGGAGAGAGAGAGAGAGCCACGTAACGAGAGCCGTTAGGAGAGCAGCAATTCCGGAATGCGACGAGCTAAGTTTGACGAGCGCGGAACTGTGTCGGATCAAACTTCGCTCTTTGACACACGACTCCATTGTCCCGCGGATGGAAACTCGGGGGTAGTAAATTCCCCGTCTTAATCCCGACGCGGAAGAGAAGAGAGAGAGAGACCTTCTCGTCTCTCTCTTTCTCTCTCTCTTTCTCTTGCGTGAGAGCAAGCTCGTGCGAGCTTGCTCTTCGGCTGACGCGCTGCGAGTAGATATATCGTCACCGCAACGTTTGTCGCGCGTGACGCTAGATTGATCGAATGATTACCGTAACAGAACGGAAAGTTTTGCCGCGGAAATAAACCAACCCGATAACGACACGGGAAGTCTGATAAGTTTTTTTTCTAGGTGATGAAGTGTTCTTCCTGGAAGACGGGGGGAAGGGAAGGGGAGAATGATATCAACGAATCTCCTATAGCAGGCGCCAGTGTGTTAATGATAGCGGAGTGTGGAAAATGCTCGAAAGAGTCGCTAGATCGTCGCGATAATTTTAACCATTTTCCTCCATTCAGACTTTCTCTGACGTGAAATTTCAACCGGCGACTCGGAGAGAGAGCGGCGAAAATTAATCAACATTTACTCTCTCAACGAGATCGCGAAGTGTTTGTCCTCGCTTTGTGTCAAATCTGAAGGCGAGACGCAAACGCGTTGTTTTGCGAACGACGAAAACATTGATTAATCGAGCAACAGATAAATTATCACATTTCCTCCGGATGAGATAGCGCGTGACTTTTGGGCGTACATACACACACACGCGCGCGCGCGCGCACACACGTACGCGCTTTAAATCGCGTCAGGGACGAGCCTTCCGCTTCACCACGAAACTGCATTGGTCATCTAACGGGGGTCGAATCGGGGCAGACTGCGGTCGGGGTCTTCCGACGAAACGTTAGAACTCTCGCGCATGTATGAGAACGGGGCTGGGACAGACGATTGGCTTCTCTTAGTTGGTATTCAGTTGATTCTCCACCGCTCGAATATATATAGGCGCGCATCGTCGTCCCGCTTACAAAGGAACGCCGCGAACGCTATTCGGTGCACGAGATGTTCCGTTTTAGCAGGCCCGGTGTCGAGCGGGGTCAGAGATAAACGGGGCTGCGGCGAAGAACGGAACTCGGAAGAGTTCGAGGGAAATCTCGTTTCTCCCCCTCCGTGTTTGTAATCGAGATTTAATGTCGATTCTCTCTATTCTCTCTAGTCCGAAAACTACAATTGAAATCTCTCTTTTCAGTTTCGCTCGTCGTAAATCCAGTCTTGTATCGCAAAACACACACACACACACATGTAGCGTCAAACGCTATCGCACCGGTAACGTTAGCAGCATCGTCTTAATTTCGCTATTAGCGAAAGAGCAGTCATTAAAAGAAAAAAAATGTCTTGTTATTTCAAACGCGGTCACGTTCGCGAGCGAGAGAAAGAGAGAGAGAGAGAGAGGAGAGTTTTCTCGGTCTAAGACTAAATCTCTCAGCTTCTTGCCCTCGGGACTTCTTTGCGGTGCTATTGTGCCTGTTAAAAATTTTTCATAACGAGAGCTTTTAAAGCCATTCTGTTGACAATTTTTTTCCGTACAGCCGTGTGTCTCACATTATCTCTTAAAGGCTCGTATTATTCTCCGTGTCTTTCTCTATATGGCGAAAAATGATTTTTATTTTGAAATATCATTTATTTAACCGACGACGACACACAGACGATCGTTTCTTGTATTTTCCACGTTTCGCTTAAACAGTAATTCCGCACATACGTCTGTTAGATCTGCAATACCAATTAATTGGCTTTGTCATGCTCGATGATTAGCCTCGCTGATATACCCCCCGTGTCTGTAACACATCATGGGGTAATGTACATCAAAGCGTTTGCATCTCGCGTTAATATCTCCCACGTCGGAAACGCCACGATAAATTCGACCGGGCTTATTTATCGGCGGTGATTAATTTTCAGAAACGGATCGAAATTTGCTGAAACACGGCGCCCCCTTCCCTTCCCTCCCCCCGCTCTTTCTCGGTTTGACGCTCGTCTCGCTTTGTCACGAGTCAAAAAGTTACGACAAGCCGCCACGCTACACGTTTGTCATCGCTAACGGGTTCTCACAACTCATCATCATGCAGACGGATCACGCCGTCATGCCGCAAGTTATAGCGTTACCAGCAGTAACAGGCGGTCCCGCCAGGCCGAGTTCATCCTCTCGACAAACAGAGATTTCCCCGTCCAGCCGACCGTGCATGCCGTACATTCGGTCGAATTTAAAACCCCCCGGCTTTATACGAAGGAAACACAAGGTGAGGTCAGATCTTTCCTCCGTCGTGTTTAACGTCGCGTTGAAAGAAAACGGTTTCTAAAACACTTTGCGCGAATCTCGTATACGTCGTGGTCGAGAACACACGACGAGCGGGTCGCGCGCGCGCGATGATCGATAGCGCGCGTGCGGGAGCGCGTTTCTCTCGTTTTCTTTACGCTCTAATTCTACAGCTTCTAAGACGCGCGCTGCTGCTGTGACGCGCCGGCGTGAAGTTTTATTTCCGCGTTTTCTCTCTCTCTCTCTCTCTTCCGTTTTCTTTTTCTTCCGTTCTGCTTCTCCTCGTATTATGTAATTCTTTGAGCGACCGTGCGATTCCGCAGATTAAGTTTTTCGCACGACTGACCGCCTTAATTTGTCTCGCGTATATTTTTCGACGCGCCGTCGTGTCCGAAAACGTGGGACAAAAATAATATGATGTAGATTGACGCGCGTAGTTCTAACGGCGGAACGATATTAAAGTCGAAATATCGTTTTTGTCGTGTGTACGTGTGAGTGTGTGTGTGCGTGCGTGCGTGCGTGTGCGCACACCGAATTGCGGCTCCCTCTTTCTGTCTCTCTCTCTCTCTTTCTCTCTCTCTCTTTCTCTGTGCGCGGCGCATTCATACAGAATTTTCGATTCTGTTTTTAGATAGCAATTCTGGCTCTCTGTATATTGTTTTTTGCGCAATGCAGTGCGAAATGAATGTCATGCTTTTTCGTAATCGCTCGGCACGATTATCAATGTCCCGTGTTTCGCGGTGCCGCGCGAGTTTTGTGTGTTACGAGCGGTGGCAAAAAAAAAAAAAAAGGGAAAAAAAAAGGAAAAAAAAACGCCTAATTTGCCCTCAAATTGCAGGGATTATATCTGGATTTGCCTGCCAATCGCATTCACGCTCGGGAAAACGCATATGTATCAACGCTTGGGTTAACAAACACACTCGTAATTTTGCGCTCGCGTTCCGTCCCGCGCGAACGGTCGCGCAAATCGTATAAAAAAAACTTTTTTGCGCGAATAAAAATTTGTTTTTTAGGCATTTTGAATTTACCTGGAGGTTTTTTTTTTTTTTTTTGTTTTGTTCGTTTTGTTTTGTTCGTCGTTTGGTATTTTTACGGACGGGAAAAAAAGTATTTTTAGTGAAGTGCGAGATAAAGATCGCGCATCGGAAACATCGGAAAACTCTCTCGACGGACGATTGCGTTATCGACAACGCGGTCAGCTGTTAATCGAGCACCTGTCACGGGCCGCGCACGTCGCATCGGTTTGCGATGTGAAGTATGTGGCGCATTCCTTTCTGCGTTCGCCGGTCCCCCGATGATAAGTTTCGCGGTCGGACGGACCATTTCCAGTCCGCCGACGACTTGACGACTCGGGCGGGGGGAAACTTTCGTTTCTGAAACAGTCTCGCTGGTTTCTCCGCGGGATTTGCCGGATCAACCGCAATCTCTCCTGAATTTTAACGATGGTAGCCGGGCGGTCCGTTGAATGAACGTATATATGCTTGCGCACACCTTGTTCTCGTATCGTACGTGAAATTTTAAACG